GGATAGTTACTGTCAATTACGTATCCAAAAGAGCACTGTGGGCCTTAGTCTTGCCCTGGCTGTGCTCTTTGTGGGCAGTATCATCCTGACTATGTTCCTCATCAGAGCCAAGTGGAAGAAATCTAGGAACAGGTAAGAAGCCTGAGGGTACATAGTAGTAAAGTAGAAAATGGACCAAGGACCATCTGACTGAGAAGGGTGCCCTAATGACTTACAACATCCTTTTAAAAGAGCTAGAAGACCTGAACACTCTCAGAGCAATATATGGGGGGGGGGATGGTTATTTTGGGTTATGTAAGAGATGAAGAGGCTACTATTATTAGTGAACCAAAGAGTTGGTAGCCTGAGGTGAAGAGAATCACCTGGTTTGTATCTTTGTTTTTTCCAATGATCTGTGTTTTTTCTTGCAGATGGTTTGATGATTTTGAGATCTGGTACAGACAGGACACAGAGGAAGAGTGGATACCATCAGCGGGTCTGACCATCATGAATGAACCAGCAGTTTCCTCCTGGAATGGTAAGTATTCATTCTACCATGAGGAAGATGACATCTGTGGCAAGCACAGAAGTTTATCCTGTTAAGAGTCAGAACTTGCTCTCCACAGCTTAGACTCAAAGCTTTAATGAAATGCAAGGAACTGTTATTTATGTATCCAGAAAGACCTTTGATGGGATAAAGGGGGCTTTCATATTTTTGGCCAATATGTCATTCTAATTATTGGAATTTTTCTTTAGAACATCTAAACCAAAATAAAACCTTCAACCCATGCCTCAACTCAGTAGATACTTCAGTACAGGTATGTATAACTGAATGCATCTTTCCAGCAGAAAGCAGATATTGTAATGCGTAATCTGGAGAAGGGCATCAAGACATGTAGAGTTAAGAAGTGTGCTGAGTGTGTAGGAATAGAATTTGTTCACTCAGAGTTGAATTTTTTAATGTTGATGCTTGCAAATGAGCATGTGAATGAAGTGATCTGATATGCTGAGACTGAAAAAGAATTTAGTAAAGTACTTAATCAATACTCCTGAATAATTAGCTGTCATACAGTATAAATAGTACAAGTGTTCTTGTGGATTTGTTAAGGCCTGAAGATTTTGAGAAAGTGAAATGGAAAACTTACTGAAAACCTACCTTGCTTTGGACATAGATGGCTTTGGAAATTCAAGAAATCTACTCATGGAAGCATGAAGAAGAATATTACCTTGTGATATACTTACTAAATTCACACATTCCAAAACAAAAGAAGCAATATTAAAATTAAAAAGGAATGATACTCTTTTAAAATTTGGAGACATAATAATTGAGATTCTACCGAATGTGCCTCTGGATATACTTAGAAAGAAGAGAGGCTTAAAATCTCTAGCAAATGATATTTAAGAAAGAAATATCATATATAGGTGGGCTACTCCATTCCATCTATGGATCTTTATTGATGGTAGTAACCTTTTATATATTCAGCTGATGATGCCAATAGAATGCTTGAATCATTGACAGAAAAGGTGAAAAATGGCCAAGAACAGACAGAAGATAATAATAATAATAATAATACTAATAACATCAACAACAATAATAACAGCAACAACAACTGGACCAAGCAGCTGCTTTTCCACTATAAATTACTCTGATAACTGATGCCACGGATCAAATTAAAATATTTAGCTGATGATGCCAATAGAATGCTTGAATCATTGACAGAAAAGGTGAAAAATGGCCAAGAACAGACAGAAGATAATAATAATAATAATAATACTAATAACATCAACAACAATAATAACAGCAACAACAACTGGACCAAGCAGCTGCTTTTCCACTATAAATTACTCTGATAACTGATGCCACGGATCAAATTAAAATATTTTCAACTAATATTAATGGGCTCAATTGCTCATTTAAAAAGAAAAAGGTTCCAGTCAGTCTTGTATGGGGGAGGTCCAGCCCACAATCCCTGCAATATAATATAACACTTTTCAAGAAATTCTGGTTAAACCAATAACTCAGTCCAATAATATCAATGACTTTCTTTGTCGTGGAAAGAAGCTTTTATCTTTCCGATCTAGATCTAAAGAAGGAAATGACCCAGCTCATCCACAGTCATACAAACTTATTTCCTTATAGACTATAAACATTTTACAGTAATACTTGCAAAGGAAATAAATGGCCTTCTAACTGAACTAATATGTCCTACATTAATACAACTGATAATGGAACATATATAATGGAGTCAGGATATCAGATCAACAAGGATAAGATCCAAATCTTGACATGGAAGAAGAAAATTTGCATGCTGAAGAAGGAAAGCAATTTTTGCAGCAAATAATGTTATTTAATAATACTGCTAAAAGGGATAAATACATGGGGATTTTCTTGACAAAAAATAATAAAGACCTAATTAAAAATAATTATTTACAGAACTGGAAAAAATATAATGGCAGATGTCTTAAGATGGAGAAGGTTAACACTGTCTTGGTTAGGAAGAATTGCAGCTATTAAAATTAGGCTGCAATTATGGCTCACCTTTCTCTTTTAAATTATTACAATAAAAATTGAAAATAAAGTATTAAATGACTGGCAAGACGAGAAACAAACTTCATATGACTGAATACAAAATTTAGGATTAAATTTAAGATACTACAGGATTTGAAAGAATGAAGTGGCCAGGCAGTACCAAACTTCAAAATGTGCTATCAAGATAGCTGTTTAACTTGGATTACAGACTGGATTATATCACTTTATGGTTGGATTTCTTCTACTGATGGAAGAGGACTTCCACATGATTTGCTTAAAAATCTTTGCAAAGATATAAATAGAAACACACAACTTGTAAGAGATCATTCAATAGTAAGTGACATATTAAAAGTTGGGAAAAGAATCAGTCCAGATTTATCACCTCTTGTTTTAGTTATGGATTATCTTTTGCTTCATTTTCATCAAGAAGAAAATGCAAAGAAATTTGCCCAGTGGAGAGACAACAGATTGTACAGACAGTCAGACCTAATTATTATTAAGACAGAGATGAAATATTTTGAGACTCTTCAGAATGGACAGAACTACTGATTAGTTCCAATACCATATCTTCAATTAAGTAATATAGTTTAAAAGAATTGCAAAAACAAGCAGAGATTTGACTGAATTTGAAAATCTTATACCTTAAAATTCAGAGGATTTGCTGTGTCTTATTTATAAGTTGATAGTTAAATATTACTCAAAACTGATCAAGCTAAAGATTGTATGATTAAATGGATGCAGAATTTAAACAGAATAACTGATAACATGCAGCAATAGGAATTTCAATGGAAGACAACTATTAAATTTAGATGAACTAAATTAGATATTAAATTTAGATATTTAGAGAAAACTGGTATAAGATGTTTTGCTGATGGTATATATTGATTACTAAAATTGACAGTTCATTTTCTGAAACTTGGTGGAAATGTTAAAATCAAGTTGAATCATTCTG